GCTCCTTCCGGCTCATGAATATAGATAGATGTCTGTCAGAACGGTTTCATGGGTCAATATGTCACGGTACTCACAATGGGATCCCCTCCTTAGAGGTGTATAATACAATTTCAGGGTGGCGAAATGACAGCATACGCTGGTTCTAGCTATTTAGGTAGCCTCCACCAGGCCTTTCTACGGGAATACGGATCGTATAAAAAAAGAGAGTAAAATGGGCCAAGGGAGTCCGACCGCGGGGAGGTTGTTTCTTTCTCTCGCGGCCAGTCAAACCTACAAGGCGGCCAAACTCCCCTGGCAAATATTCTCCTATATATAGCCAGCGTAGTTAGTCTGGTACAGACTAGTATTTAGGGGCGGTACAAACAAATATGTCACTGTATTCGCAATGGGTCCTCTCCTTAAAGGCATATAAACCTTTATTGTTACCGCATACATATATCCTGCACGTATGATGACGTTATCCACATGTATTTAGGCTTAAATCTTTAGTTGTAGAAGACCATACAAAAGTCCCTGTACTTTTTTTGTTGTGTCAAAAAAGAATCTCTATAATACAATTTCAGGGTGGCAAAACAATTGTGAAAGGTAGAAGCTACTGTACTGAAAAGGATGTTGATGTTGTGTATGTATGTAACATGCATAAAACGCCGTTTCTAACAGATTTCCCAGCTGTAACTTTCAAGAACAACAGTTGGACAGCTTTACACATTCAATCCACGTATAGAAGATGTATCTAGCAAAGAAGAATGAATATATAGCTCGATACCCTCACTCGAGTTTAAAACAGTCACATTCAGAAATTCAAGAACTGTATCTTTCAAGAACAACCTTTGCAAAGCTTTATACATTCAATCCACGTGCAGAAATTGTATCTGATGAATGAATAGATAGCTCCATACTCCCAATCAAGTTAAAACAGTATGTTAGTAAGTAGCTATAGTGCGATACAGTACTCCCTACCTACGCTTTGTATGCGTGACAAGCTTTCACTCCGCTATGAGAAAGTTTCCCATCAACAGATGAACACGGTCAGGTTTGGAGATCATACTGTTGATTGAAATACCCGCGGCCGGCTTCACTTCCGTAATCATGGGGAAAGGATACCGGTTCGGGAAAAGCAATCGCGAAGGAAGATAAATACAGCTTTCTTGGACTTTATGCCAAGTTTATGCCCAGGTCAAGTCCAAGAACACGACTTTTCCATTTCACCGGAACAGCTAAATCAGGCCGGATGGGCCGCAGACGTTCTTGTGTTATTGGATTGGAAAATGAAGCAAGCTCACTCGCCTGAGTGAGAGTATCGAGCTATAAATGCATTCTTCTTCACCGCTGGATACAACTTCTGCACGTGGATTGAATATAGTAGAAGAATGAAGCGCACGCTTTGAAGGGTACTTAAATATCGTTTGATACTTCCTCCTAAAAAGTTTCTTTAGTTCCCTAATCATGTTTGCGTAACACTTACATGTATTGGAACAGTAGTTTTATTCCTGTCATGTATACCCAGATATCCCTCACCCCGTGGATTACATTGAACGGTGCGTGTTCCAACTTCCCCGTTACGTTACTGCGATAGAAGTCAGCAGCATATGGTCCACTTCAACTCAAATTCAACCTGTCAAAACTGTGATAACGACTTGCAAAATGAATTTCTCTTGAGGTATTTTCATTTTGACTTCCCGTCTGCATATAATTTTCTTTACCATAGCTCCTATAGAAACTGGGTAATACTGGAGAACTGTGCTTGTTCCAGGTTGTGTAGAGTGTTGCGTGCGATCGACTTAATATTCCGCGGTCGTGCTACCCTGGGAAGAAATTGGACACTATCTTAAGAAGGGCTGCGCCGCGTCTGAAGGGGTTGCACTTGAGTCGTGACCTCACCGGGGTTACCAAGTTCAAGGTTAAGTTGCACTTTGGCTGACTCGGTAATGCTGGGATGTGAAACAGGGCGAGAGGTTCAGTTGCGGACAAACTCACAGAACTGCAGGTCTCTAACTCATCATACGTCCTTTGACTTGACTTAATTAGGTCCACAATTTAGCTTGACATTTAAGCTATTCTTCCTGTGGTCCTTAACATGTAATACAGCAATACAAAATAGCAACTGCCACACAGTAACACTCCCGATAATGCTAATATGAAGACCTCTAGGTATAGACACGTACTAATGCAAAAGAGAACTGCATGGTTCTAACTCTAACCTTGGCTTTTGACTTGACTTTATTACCTTCCACAAATTAGCTTGACATATCAGCTATTCTTCCTGTGGTCCTTAACATGTAATACATACATCAATGCAAAATAACAACTGTCACACAATAACACTACTGGATAACACTAAGACCTTTCAACCCCCCTGCTTAACTAGATTACATTCTGGAACAGAGCCCGACATGCAGGCTAGGATCCGGAAATAACTTGAAGAATTACCCGTTGTCGGCAACTATGGGAATTTATTATTATAATATTGGTCCATTTATGTATAGATAGGGTATACATAACATGATCGACACACTTGAAGCTTGGACAGGCTTGTGCCAATATTTGTATATCCTTTAGAAAAGGATGATGATAAACAAAAATGATAAACTGTGGGTTTTCTACTCTAGCATTTTACGATATATCGCCACGCGTCCAGTGAACTGTATGCCGGAATAGGGCGAACTATTCTTGGTCTTGTCAACACGACGTAACAGCTGACGCATGGAGGAAACTCGATACGAAACGAAGACAAATTATCGTCTCATAAATACATGTATATATAAGCGGTCCTGTGGTGGTTTACGTCTGTGTTTTCCTGTATATAAGGGCATTTTCCGGTATCGTACTGAATTGAAGGTTCTGGTTCTGTATCTGTATATCTTCGGCGTAACACACCAGCTTCGCAGGCTATCTAATGATAATGCCCCTACTGTGCTTGGTGACAGTGAGTTCCACCCTGCGATAGCTCTAGGAAAGAATGAGTTTTTTAACACCCCAATCCTAGGTTGAGAACTCTACTGTACTTAAAGGCCTGTCTTTACCGTAGCTCATAGTAGCCTATATGTCTTGTATGTAAGGATTGCACCAAAACAAGGGCATCCATTTGCGATTATTCGAACACCAAACAGAGGCTGCAGTGTGGGGGCCTGACCTTTTAACCGTAGGCAAATACAGCGCGCTCCGACCCCCAAATAACCCTGTCAGAGCTTTTTCTGGGCTAACCGCATTTATTATTCGCATACGTGAAGTGTACACCGCTAGCATACCGCAGTAGCTCGCCGCAACATACTAGTACACATAGTGCCACAGCAAGTAATTTTTATGGATGACATCAACGCACGCATTAATTTTCGCCTGATTTTGGAAAAAAGAAATTTTGTTGCCCTCTGACAGTGCCGAAAATGGGCAAAGATAACTGTTACCATGCCGGAACGTGGATGGCAGATACGTAACTATGAAAGAGAGGAGACAAGAAAAGGCTCTGATTTAATGTTTTGTTTCTTACTTTGATGCAGTGATATGTGATGCTGGCTGTGTATATGTGATATTCCCACTGAATCAAAACCATTTGCACAATGATCGAGTCAAAAATTTTAAAATGTAGGAACCTTGTTTTTTCCGGCCCGCCTTGTGTTTTTTTTTTCGCCTGCTCGCATTAGATTTGTAGTCTGCTGAGGATGTCATCCATAAAATTTACATGCCGTAGCCTAACATATACAGTTGTCGTCACAGGCCTAACAAGCGTAGATACGGTTGCTTGTATGTATGTAGGGGTCGAAGTTCAGTAGATAGCAGGGCGCTCTAAGCACAAGAACTAGGAATTTATGAGAGTCAATATTACTGGTGTGCCGCTGAATGGAGAACTGTGATAAGAGGGAAAGTGAAGGGTTTGCTGAGAGACTGGGAAGAGGCGGACGTAGCCTCTACCAGGCTTCGGGAGGCGGCCTGAAAAATTGGATAAATAGAGATAGCATGCCGAGGGAGTTTGGTCGGCTGGAGAGAACATTAGTGTTAGCCTCTACCAGGCTTCGGGAGGCGGCCTGAAAAAGGAGTAGAAATTGGCCAAATAGAGAGATAGCATGCCGAGGGAGTTTGGTCGGCTGGAGAGAACATTAGGGTTAGCCTATACCAGGCTTCGGGAGGCAGCGGGAAATAGTAGGAATTGGCCAAAATAGAGAGAGAGCATGCCAGGGGAGTTTGGTCGGCTGGAGAGAACATTAGGGCTAGCCAGTCTACCAGGCTTCGGCTGGAAAAGAGTAGAAATTAGCCACATACAGAGATGGTCCGCTAGAAAGTACAAATTATTCGGGTGCGGCAAACCGTATTCTCTAGCGGACCCACTCCTCTGGCATGTTATCTCTGTATTTGGCCAAATTCTACTCTTTCTAGCCTCTACCAGGTTTCGGGAGGCGGCTGGAAACAAGAGTAGAAATTGGCCAAAATAGAGATATGGTCCGCTAGAGAGTGCAGTTCAGGTGCGGCAAACTGTACTCTCTAGCGGACCGACTCCCCTGGCATATCATCTCTCTATTTGGCCAAATTCTACTCCTTCTAAGCACCTCCCAAAGCCAGGTAGAGGCTAGGTGTGTACAAGTAATCGTTCTCTAGCGTACCGCGCCGCAGGCTATACCCAGTGAAGCCTACGCGGATCTCTGCGGTTTGTATGTCATTGTGTGCATTATTACATTTACGTGACTTAACGGGGCATACCTGTGGTTGTTGTACATGTACTAGATAACGTTATCTCTCTATTTGGCCAGTGTCTACTCTTTTCAGCCGCCTCCCGAAGCCTGGTAGAGGCTAGGTGTATACTAGTAGCGTACGGCACCGCAGGCTATACCCAGTGAAGCCTGTGCGGATCTGTGTGGTTTGCGGTTTGTATGTATGTGTGCATTACCTTACCTGTGGCTTCTTGTACTAGATAACGTTATCTCTCTATTTGGCCAAATTCTACTCTTTCCAGCCGCCTCCCGAAGCCTGGTAGAGGCTAGGTGTATGTTTTTTCTAGTGTACCGCGCCTCGGGCTATACCCAGTGCACCAGTGAAGCCTTAGTATCCGAAAAATAGTATGCGGTTTGTATGTGTGCATACCTGTGGTTTGTTGTACTAGATAACGTTATCTCTCTATTTGGCCAGTGTCTACTCTTTCCAGCCGCCTCCCGAAGCCCAGTAGAGGCTACGTGTATACAAGTACGTAATCACCTAGCATACCGCGCCAGGGGCTATACCTAGTATGCGGATCTGTGCTGTTTGTATGTGTACATTATTACATATACGTGACTTTACGGTGCTTACCTGTCGCTTGTTGCACGAGATAGCGCAGCCACGTGTTGCCTGACCCTGGGAAACTGACGAGCGCAGTGATGGGGAGGGGAGTTGCGGAGTACCGAAGCGCCGTACATTGTTCTAAGCGCACATCCCTGTGTGCGCCCATCCGTATGTCCTTCGCCGTCTCCTGCTCCTGCCTTGCCGGGGACGCTACGACAGCCGCCGGCGGGGCAGGGGCGGCCTTCATCCCGAGGCGGTAGCGGAGGTGTTGCGGGTTCTCTCTCGGCGTCCCTGCTGCTGAAGTAACAACGCTGCCGGGAATATTCTCCTTCCGTGTTGATGTGGACGCAGCCTTGTGGATGAGCAGGCCGATCCCGAATATGTAGAACAAGATGAAGCCGAGGAGCAGACCGCAGAAGAGCTGTCTCTTCCGCCAGCGAGACCCGCAAACCATGACATTCGGATCGGAGATCGCTGCAGCGTCGTGAAATGCTGAAACGCTAGCTCCACGGGATGGTGGCAGGGGCTGCTAAATCCTCATGACAAGCACTCGAGGGAGCTTCTTAAGCCCCAAACGAGCATCGATCGACGGTAGAACAGAGCGCTAACCCTGCCCCGAGCACTCACAGTGAGCGTCGTGTGAATGTGGTACCTTAAAATGTAGGCGTAAACATCTGGTGCGCTGGATGGGTCAAGGGGGAATGCGGCGAGCGCTGGGTCAACCCTCGGAGAAGGGCGATACCAAATTCCTGCTCACCCAAAACCGAACACTTTAGATAGCTACCTTTAAGCCTAATCTTAACACAATCATTGCTGTAAATTTGTAGGATTTTAACAGAGCAAACTAAAATGAGCGCCGTCTTTCCTCCGTTCAAATTTTACAAAAGGGAAACAGTTTTGTTCCCACCCTTCGTTTTCACGATGGCGTCGCCCTAAAAGCCACAGCGCGGTTAGCTTAGAACAGGCTGACCCTCGAAATAAGCGTAAATCGAGCCCGTTTGTCAGCAAAGGAAGGATTAACTACCCTAATTACCAGCCTGGGCTTGTTTAGGTCGCTACGAGCGGTTCCGATGTAGGTTAATCCTAAAGGCATCTTTTAAAAGCGATTTCAGAGCAGCAAAACTAGAGTATTTTGAATAAGACTATCTTTATGATATTGATACATACTGCCTCACATTAGCACATTTCAATCAATATTTCATACTTTGATTATCTAAAACTACAGAAACAAGCCTCAAGATGAGTCCTTTATTTTATGGGTGGTACCCTAAAAATCAAGCCAGGTCTAAGCTTAGAACAGGCTGACCCTCGAAATAAGCGTAAATCGAGCCCGTTTGTCAGCAAAGGAAGGATTAACTACCCTAATTACCGACCTGGGCATGTTTAATAGGTCACTACTGCTCTCCAAGCCATGCTAGCAGAGGCTTAGGTTTTGGCTTATTTTTCGCGTGTTTTGGGGCATTTTTATTGGGCTTTCCTTTTTGCACTGGGTTGGCGTAAAAAAAAAACATACCAATGCCCGATAAGAATGTCAAAAACATGCCAAAAATTAGCCAAAACCCAAACCTCTGATTGGGAAGCAGTTCCTCTGTAGGGCAACCTTAAAGGGGCACTATGTAACATTTAATTGAAAAAAATTGCGCGATTACAATTTACTTCCACTTTTCCACATATTTGTGCAATTATCTCACATTTCTGACTTTTGCGGTTGCCGCTTCATAAAACAGCCCACACAAGGCACACTCAGTTTGTGGTGCCACCACAAACTACCAGGATGTAAACAAACATGGCTGACAGCTATGTTTCTAGCTTTGAAACACATTCAAAATTTTTTTGGAACCTCCACTTTCTAAATTTCACTTATTAGCAATGAAGGAGGGTTGATTCAACCTACGTTGTAAAGAAATGAACAGGCCCTGACTACGTATATACCATCTAAACTATAAAAATGGTCTAACCCCATAGAGCGGATCACGAATTATGTTACGCTACAATGTTTTTATACCGGTACTGTTTCCTAGGTCGTGCGTAAACAGGATGTTTCGTTGATATCCATCAAAAATACTTGCATCATGAATGTTTACATGTACAAATCATGTTTGGTGTGTATCCAGTTTTTTGTATCTGTATCAGTATATCCGGTATAACCCCCCTTCGGCGTATAAATACACCAGCTTCGCAGGCACGCGGCGCGGCGGCAGCTAGCTACATTACACCGAACGACTTTTTACACCCAATCTTTTCACGTCTAACCGTAAAAGTTGTTTAACGCTTTCTAGTGACGATGCTTCATCTGTGCTTGGTAGCAACGAGTTCCACGTACACTATGATTATGATAGTTCTTGGAAAATTTGAGTTTTTGAACACTTCAATTCTTGGTGCAACGTTGATAACTCTGATAGTTGAAGGCATGACTGTTACATACATGTATAACGATGAGTGAACCGACACTATCGGCGGATACGTCAATAACCGGGAACCTAATCTCCAAGCAGATCTTGGGAAGGACGTGCGATTTTAACGCGGTTTGACAGCCTGTCGCCTCCGGTTGGTATAAAGGACTGTCAGAGAAGCTAGGTGTCAGAATACATCACAATCATCCACCCAATATCTGTTCAAGATTATTATCATTATTATTAAAACAAAACCATGCCTGTCAAAGCTCAAATTTTTCTACCCTATTCTCTCTTTGATCTAAGAAGCTGGGCTATATTTTAAGGTCTGGAAAATGTTAATAAATGAATAATAAGTTCTTTATTGCAAGTTCATGTCCGAGGGCCAAAATCTGTATCTGTATCGATATCGGTATAACCGGTATAACCTGGGTGACCCTTCGGCGTAACACGCCAGCTTCGCAGGCACTCCGATCGACAATGAGTACAATGAGTACAGAAGAATGGAATAAAACCGAATGGAATAAAATGAGTACAGAAGAATGGAATATTTTTTACCTGAAATAAAGAATGAATGAATGAAAACATTAAACAATGTACTTTAGTTTTACTTTCATTAATCTAAGGTTCTTATAACTAGTAACGTATGCATGTGACAGAGAGGATACGTAATACATAAACAGGTAAGACAAACATGGCAACTACCATTCTATTTCTAGTTGAGCTATGGGGGGGGGGACTTGTTCTCTTGAGGTAGTGGGAGATGAGTCCAAATATAAGAGTTGATGACCATAGACAGGTTTCTGCGGCCTGGGTGCCATCCTCCGTAGTTTTCGCGTCCGCTCCCTACTGTCGCTGGGTACCACGGAGATAGAAAACTACCGGCAGGATGGCACCCAAGCTAAGGTTTCTGCTGACTACACAAAAATCTATTATAAGTAACAAAACGCGAATTTGGCTTCGCCGATAACAAACAGACCTGGAAGTGACCTTCTATCGCCAAGAAACATCAGATTATCATTACTGAGGTGTCACTGAAGAGCTGCCAATTGGGCCATCTCACCAGAAATACCCGCCAAAAGCGAAGGAGGGGGCTTAATTTCTAGCCTTTGAAAGGCTCCCGCCCCCGGACTAAGTTCTTCAGGCGTGGAAACTAAAAATTCGGACAATTCATCTCCCACTGCCTCCTGTGAAGAAGTCAAACCCGCTAGAAGCATGGCAAGAATAGAATAGATTATATTAGAATAACAGTTACCTTGTTCCTCTTACCTGTTCATATATCGCATATCTACTGTTTATCCTATATGTATACCAACGTTATTAGATTTTTAAATCTAATTCAAAGTAGAGATAGTAGGTTCGATAAGTATATATATATCGTACACGTAGAACTTCATGTTAGCATATAGTTTTATATCACCAAATTTTTCTTGTCAATGTCTGTTTGCAATTAGCCTTCGGGCATAAACTTGCAATAAAGAACTATATTGATTAATATCTCCAAGAAGATGCTATGGTGACAAGACACTGCGTCATCCATTGGCCACTGAGAGGAGTGTCCATTCACGAGTGGCTATTGGACACTCCTCTGGCCCGTTGGATACTGTCTTGCCACCGTAGCATCTGCTTGGAGATTAGGTAGCCTCTACCAGGCTTCAGAGGCGGCTGGAAAGAGTAGAAGTTGGCCAAAAAGAGAGCGATGATATGCCAGAGGAGTTGGTCTGTGCCAAGCTTCGTGTGTGCTTCTATAGCTATTTGGCCATTTCTACGCTTTCCAGCCACCTCTGAAGCCTGGTAGAGGCTAGGTTGGATAGCGGGAGCGGCAAACTGTTCAATTTCTTCTCTTTCCAACCGCTTCCAGAAGCCTGGTAGAGGCTACATGGGCGGCCCGTCGACTGAAGAATGCCCCGGATTTGTAGCATCTGAATCTCATTTTTCACGGACGCAGAAAGGCCAAGGCGAGAAGACGGGCCAAAGTCCGCTACAGGGGGTACTTGAAACGGGGCTATCTACATGTTACTAGTATACTACCCTCAGTTGCAGCGCCACAAAACATCGTAAATATCCCTTTCACAAGCCAAGGAGGTTATATATAAAGCTCCTTGCTCAGCCCAATATATCGCACGAGTAAGGATACAAGCTAAGCCAAGTCAAGGTTTATTGCTCTTCAGAACTACAAACTACAAACCACTTTGACTATCTTCAGATGCACATTTAGCATACAAGACTAGTACTGTAGCTATTCTTCCTGTGGTCCATTCTATACGACACACAAGGAATATACAAAACATAAACACATTGACAACAATAGCAGAATACTAACACACAACCTAACATAAGTCCACATACATCACACTGCATTTCATTCCAGGCACTAGACATCCTGTTCAAAAATCTCTTTTTCTGGACTGAAAACCCTCATTTGTTCGGGGTTTAGAGAGGCTCTACCACTCTACTACCTCTACCACTGTCTCGGCAACTACGTTTGGAAGCCAGGAATGTCTTTGTATGACGTTCGACATCAGGCATTCAGACCTATAACGTTAATGTGCGTAGGGGTGAATTATGTCATTATTGTCCCGAGCAACGCAAGTACATCTAGACATGCGGCAAATACAGTCTGTCAAGTAATACTGTGTGATTGAATTCGGCCATAGTCATAGAGTGACGTGTACGTTAGTAATGTTTAACTATGTAGAAGATGAATTAGTACATTGTGCTTTAGAACGCTTACTATACGTAAACATGTGCAAATCTTTTATTAATTCCCTACAATTAGAACATAGATTCATGTATACCTAAGTAATGTTTTACTATGTAGAAGATGAATTAGTACATTTTGCTGTAGAACGCTTACTATACGTAAACATGTGCAAATCTTTTATTACTTCCCTACAAATTAATTGCCTTCGACGAGAAGGCTATAGAATCGCTTTCGGCCTGTTTTGTAGCTTCAAGATACCTTGTAGATAAAGACGTAATACAGCAATGAAGTACTTCTTTCTCCTACACTTCCTCCATTTTTTTTGGGGGGGGGGGCTGATGCACAATTTTTTACACAAGTTTTCCCAAATGAATGCGGCAGAGGGAGTTATACCGCGGAGGTAGTTTCGCCCCTTGTCTGCGAAGAAGGCTAGTTGATCGCCAGAGAGAAAAGAGTGAGTTAGAGTCTACTGCGAGTTATTCAGTTTCTCTACATCAATACTGACAATGCAAGCAAGTAGATAGATAGATAGATAGATTTAGCATTACGACTTGGTTTTAGCTAACGTTAGTGTAGTGGCTGTTTCGCCATCTGTTTGCTCATTCCATTTTCGTCTTCACGTGCTATCACATGTCCGCTGATCTGGCGGATTACATCAATACACACATATGCATTCGGCATTACATGTTTTAGCTAGCATTAGTGTATGTGGCTGTTTTAGTAGTCACTTTCATCAACTGTTTGTTCATTCCATTTTCGTCTTCACGTGCTATCACATGTCCGCTGATCTAGCGGATTACATCAATACACACATATGCGTTCGGCATTACATGTTTTAGCTAGCATTAGTGTATGTGGCTGTTTTAGTAGTCACTTTCATCAACTGTTTGTTCATTCCATGTTCGTCTTCACGGGCTATCACATGTCCCCTGATCTGGCGGGTTACCGTAAAGGCAGATTAATGCCCGAGTTTATTTATCCATTCACGGCTGCCCAATAGCAGCGGCGCTTCGGCAGCCGTATCCACACAGGCAGGTACGTGCTCTGTTATCGTATCAAGTTAATATCGCCAGGCTTTTCCAGATACCGTAATATCTAGATTTATCGCAGAACCGTAAACCCAGCGGTAAAGCCCCGTTCTTTTACAGAGTGTGAAGGTATCGATTTTGCCATCGTTCACAAAGAAACAGACCGCCGGACGTGAATTTGAAGCTTGACTCGCAGCCGTGTGTCCTTGAAAGCCGGTATAACAGCCTATCGACACGGTTTTAGGAGTGTTTCTTTAATCAGATTAGCTGTGGTTTACAAGTCGATATTTCATGATACTGGACTCAGTCGGAAGGAGTGCTTTTTTAAAAGCGCCATGACTTTGGCAAACGAACAACGACTTAACGTTTAGGGACTGACATAACTCCCTTTCCCGCATTAGATAACCTTCAGTCTGTGTAAGAAAAATGAGTACAACATAATATACTCCCCTGAAGAATAAACACCACTGCTCCAATAATTCTTCGAATGCCTAGTTCGTCCTTGACTTTCCTCCAACATAACGAACCTTCAGTCCGCATAAATAAACTAATACAAGCGATCCACCGAAGAATAACCGCCACTGCTCTAATAATTCTTCAGAATCTATGGCAACATGCCTCGGCCTTGGCTTTCTCTATTATAAAAAAAGCATAACATATCACGCAGGTTGTTTAAAGTGTAGGGACTGACCATCCTCCCATGGCAGGGGCAGCGGCTCCGAGGAGAAGGAGTTCGGAGCCGCGCCCCTGCCATGGGAGGATGGGACTGACATAACTCCCTCTGCCGCATTAGACCTTCAGTCCGTGTAAGAAAAGGAATATAAGCGCTCCCCCAAAGAATAAACGCTGCAACTCTAATAATTCTTCGAATCCATGGCGTAATGCCTCGTCCTTGACTTTCTGTAAGAACATATCAAGCAGGTTGTTTAAACTGTATGGACTGACATAACTCCCTCTGTAGCATTAGGAGAATCTTCATCAGTCCGCGTAAAAAAATCAGCGCTCTAGATCTTTCCAAAGATGCTCTAACTCGTAATTCTTCGAATCCGTGGCGTCATGCCTCGTACGTCCTTGACTTTTCTCTAGCATAACATATCACGCAGGGTGTTTAAAGTTTAAACTGTAGGGACCGGCGCCAAGAACAATGGGAGGTGAGCGATGGCAGACATAAATCCAGAGATAGAGAAATTCCTCTCAGCTGGTCTTGGTGCCAAACGGAGAAGCCTCGACAACATCTACCTTAATCTCCAAGTAGATCTTAGGGTGGCAAAAGACAGTATCAAATTGGCCAGGCATACGGACACTCTCTGGCCAATGGATACCGCCTGGCCAAATTGATACTGTCTTTTGCCACCCCTAGGATCTGATTGGAGATTACATCTACCTGGCTTGGCCACAGAAACAGAAACTAGGAATGCCTTGTAGTCGACGATTTGTCGTGCCTCGTCCTTAATTAATTGACTTTTCTCTAACATAACATATCACGCAGGTTGTTTAAAGTTTAAACTGTAGGGACTGGCGCCAAGAACAATGGGAGGTGAACTATGTCGGACATAAATCCAAAGATAGAGAAATTCCTCTCAGCTGGTCTAGATGCCAAATGGAGAAGCCTCGACAACATCTACCTTAATCTCCAAGTAGATCTTAGGGTGGCAAAATACAGTATCAAATTGGCCAGGCAGTATCAATTCAGCATACGGACCCTCTCTGGCCAATGGATACTGCCTGGCCAATTCGATACTGTCTTTTGCCACCCTAGGATCTGCTTGGCGATTCCAAAACAGAAGCTAGGAATGCCTTGTAGTCGACGATTTGTCATGCCTCGTCCTTGACTTTTCTCTAACATAACATATCACGCAGGTTGTTTAAAGTCCAGAAACCGGCGCCAAGAACAATGGCAGGCGAACGATATCCAAAGATGGAGAAATTCCTCTCAGTTGGTCTTGGTGCCAAATGGAGAAGCTTCAACAGCATCTTCCCGGCTTGGAACAGAAACAGGTATGAATGCTTTGTAGTCGAGGATGCAATCGCCACAGTTCGTAAATCTACCTGGCTTGGAACAAAAACAGAGGCTAGGAATGCCTTGGCCATTGTAGTCGACTATTGGTGCTGGCAATCAACACAGTTGGTATATAGATGTTCTTGGTTATTAGAAGACACGGAACATCTTAGCCTAGGTGCCAGACCCCTAGCTATGCGTACTTCATTCGGGGGAAGTTAGCCTCTAGCAGGCTCCGGCAAGCGACTGAAAAGGGTTAAGAAATTGTCCAGAGAGACAGATAACATGCCATGAGAGTTGGTCCGCTAGAGGGTACGTTATGGCGCTCCCGCTCTTTCATAACGCTTCCCGGAGTCTGTTAGAGGCTATCGGCGCCTGGCACCCAGGCTAAGGAAGTTGGAACACCTCGTCCGTAGGCGTGTAGGCGGTGTACAGGGTTGTTGGGTGTGTAATAAGACCAGACACCCACTGTGCCCCCGTTTAACGGGATTAATACGACTCAGATTCACCCCAGCCCAAACCTAACTCCTTCCACATTGTACCTGGCTGTCCTTTCGAACTGTCGCCCTTCTCACATCCTCTCTAGACTCTCGTATCCGGGCTAAAACTAGTAAAAGTACCCCAAGGAAAACTGATTGTTTTCATGCCCGAGGGCTAATTGCAGGTACAGAAGAAACATTTGGTATCAGAACAGGTAATTAATACACAGAGAACTACTGATAACTCCTAACAAACTAGTGGATTTGACTTCTTTTTTCAAGACAGAGGAAGACAAAAGATCCCACTACATCTGTCCGATGCATCGCTACATATCCTTTCAATTGTTCATCAAGTTGCTGAGATAACTAAGTTAATTTAAAGACTCCCTTTGTACAAATATATGTAAGGTTATAACTTCTCCAAGAAAATTCTGTGGGGCAAGGGAAGTCTATATTGGCCACCTGTATCCACTGGCCTCCTTTGAAGTAACAACTGGCCGCCCCACTGAATCTGCTTGGAGATTAAGTACTAGTAACTCTCAGTGTAAGCCGGCATGGATGAGGAAGGCTAGTGGGAAATGAGAATAGGGCTTGTAGGGAAATTGTAAAGGAAATTGGACAAGGAGTGTGTATGGTGAAAAATAACTGATTTAAAACGATATTACACCATTGAAACCAGAACTCTTTAACCTAGCACAATTAAAATCCCAACGTCACGTTCTGGTGAAGTGCATCCGTGAGCTACTCTACGCCGATGACTCTGCTCTAGTGGCACACACACTGGACAGTATCCAGCGGCTGCTAGAAAAGTTCGCAGAAGCGGCAAGAGCCTACGGTATGACTATAAACATCAAGAAAACCGAGGTTCTCTATCAGCCTGCACCTGGGAAACCGCACATCCCGCCGCAGGTCCTGCTGGACGGAACACCCCTTGCTGAAGCAGAAACCTTCACGTACTTGGGATCTACAGTGTCAAATGACAATTCCATGGACAGTGAGATCGACGCACGAAGGCGGGCTGCCTCAGTTGCGTTCGGTCGCCTTAAGGACCGGCTGTGGAACGTGAAGTCTATACGATTGAACACAAAACTGAATGTCTACAGGGTTGTAGTGCTGAGTGCACTTCTTTATGGATTAGAAGTGTCAACCCTGTATGCCCGACATGTCCGACAACTGTCTGTCCTGGTCCAACGCCATCTTCGTGGACTAATGGGCATCACCTGGCAGGACCGCATATCCAACGTGGAAGTCCTGAGGAGGGCGGGCATGCCTGCTATGGAAGCCATGATTACCCGCTCACAACTCAGATGGACCGGTCACGTCATCAGGATGTCTGAGGAACGACTGCCACGGGACCTGCTGTACTCTGAACTGAGAGAGGGGTCAAGGCCCCGAGGTAGACCACGGCTGCGGTACAAGGACACTTTAAAACGTCGGCTTGGTCTGGCGGGTATCAGCCATCAGCAACTAGAGACACTGGCAATTGACCGGGCCGGATGGCGTGCGGTGGTGAGAAAGAGTGCCGAGGCTGTGCACAGGGAGTGGGAACATAGAGAGGACAAACGTGCGAGCCGACGACACGCTGCCACTGCTACCAAGCAGGCCTCATGAACAATGAATGAACTCTAATGTTATATTGGTCTTTCTTTGGACTTCTATTTTTTTTGTAACAGTCATGACTTTAGGCTCAAATCTGTTTTGTCTTGTACATGTAGATAGGAATGAGCCATCCTGTTCGACCTGCGCAGTTAGTCATAGTCTCTAGAGAGACTGACTGACATATAGTATGATTCAGGGTTACTTTTTTTTTATCTGCCATGGCCAGATTATCTAAAGATGTGTGTATTGTGTGTACAATCTACAGAAAGAGAAATGTATATCAGGTCCGATCATCCGATTTTCACGTTTCGGTTTTTTGGACTCGGTTCATGAACGTATTTTGGTTTGGCTCCTGGAATGTGCTCCCGGGACTGTCTACAGGGAACACTCGCACATTCGCGGTGTATCAGGACAGCGCGACTGGTCGGCATTAGCGCAGTCCCTGCAATTAGTAACAGTTGCACATCAATCCGGCCGAAAGCATGATTGTGTAACACAGACTACTTCTTCATATACCGGCTCATACTACAAGACGCCTTTACAACTAGCAAATCATAAAATTACCCGATCTACTAGTATGTGCGGTTTACCAGCCCCAGACCACATCCGACCACGAGGCAGAACACATTGATGGGTTGC